AAAGAGTTTGGTTTTGAAAGAAGCAGTAAGTAACTACCCCAGTGCCCTCCACGGGGATGCCTCCCCCATGTGCAAATTGCCACCAGTGCTGGACCCTGGGCATGGAACGTGAGCGTGCAGGACTCCTATTTAACCACCTGGACTGAGCCTTGGGCTCAAGAATCCTGCTTCCGGAGTTTGGAGATGCCCTTCTCACAGTTTGGATAGAGAGCCTTTTCCTCCACTGCCGGCATGGTTTGTGGGTGTTGTGCGTCCCAGGTACCATCACTTGCACATGTGCATTAGGGGAGTGCCCCTGAGCACCAGGGTGACAGGGCTGCCTTTGCATGTCATCTGAGTGTCCCAGCTTTGAGTTTGGGTAAAAGCATTAAACATCACCCTACGGGGCAGGGAGAAGACCTCCGGGGTCCCCACAACACACTGGAGAGCTCGTTGGCCTTTTGTCTGTCCTGCTCGCTTTGTTTTGTTCTGTTTTTTAAATTTTATTTTTTATTTTTATTTTTAAATTTGCTATAGGGCACATATACTCACCAGAGAGAGAAAGAGAGAGTGAGAGAGCAAGCTGCTGGGTCCAGGACTTAAACCGTGGTTGGCCATGTGGGAGTCCAGTACCTTAACTCTACGCCCCCTGCCGGCCCCTCACTCTGCTTTTATCAGCGCTAGCAAATGCAGTCGCCCAAGTCCTGGGGTGATTTTTGTTCTCAAATGCTCCCTAATTATAAATGAAGAAATTACCATTTCTCCTCCTCATGAAAAAGCCAGGTGGTTTGCAGACACATTGGTGAATTTGCTTCATAAGCCAAAGAAATGTGCCGTGGGCTGGCACTCTTCTGATTTAATAAGAAGGACACTGGGTACTTGGTACTGTTCCCAGGTGTGTGCCAGCACAAACAGAGGCCATGCCGGGCACTCGGACGTGGGTTGTGGCTTTTCTCCTTTCCTGAAGGAGGTGTGCTCTAGAACCTTTTCCGTGAGTAATTTTCAAGTTCTTTCCAGTGCCCGGTCCATAAAAGGCAAAAATACAGGGTGAACATTTAACATGCCCCTGCCCGTCACAGATGATTACTGAAAATTTGTCACCAGATGCAGAACTTTAAATGTGTGTTAATCTGGGAAATAAGAAATGTCATCTGAAAGCCTAATTGCAAGTCAGGACAGAAGACATGCTGTCTTTTAAAAATATAACATTATTTGTTAATTGTCTTTCATAATTGTCCGATTTTTATAAATTGGGATGCCCAAATAGGCTTAGGATTTTGATTCCATCCTGAGGTGTCTGAGACACATGTTTCCAGGGAATAACCCCCCGTTCAGATGTCCTTGTGGCTCCCAGACCCCTTTGGGCTTCTGTTTTCTACGTGCCTGCTGTCCCTCCTCCATCCCTGGCTGATTGTGGAGTCTCCTGTGATGCTCCTCTCCCCTTCGTCCTGTAAATGTCCTCCCGCAGTGCCCATGACCTCAGTGGGCTCAGGTGGGCATGCTGGGCACGAGGGACGTTCCTAAGGAAGGGACCTTTGAGCTGGGCCTGCCCAGGGGAGCAGCGTATGCAGAGGCCCAGTGTGGTGTGGCTGGCCAGAGTGGGGAGCTGAGAGGAGCATGTGGGGCATGAGTCAGTAGGGCCACAGGTGGGGCTGGGAGGACTGTTTGGGCTTTATCCTGAAGGCAGAATGAAACCTGGAAGAATTTTGAGTAGGCAGTGACACCATCACACTTGCCTTTGGAGAAAGAGAAAGTGAGAGAGCAAGCTGCTGGGTCCAGGGCTCAAACTGTAGTCGGCCATGTGGGAGTCCAGTGCCTTAACTCTACGGTCCCTGCCGGCCCTGGGTCATTGGACATTTTTGCATAGAAAAAGATACATCATGACTTTTCCAATGACTCAATAGAAGGATTGCTGTGACCGTAGCACAGAGGTAGGGCCTAGGAGGTAGAGGGCAGGACAGGTGCCAGGGTGAATCTGGAGGCTGGTGCAGTGGGCTGGAAGCAAGGGGCTGGTGGCCTGGCGCAGTGACCCACAGTAGCCTGGCCTCCTCTCTACGCACCTGTCTCCAGCCCCTGGGCACAGGCTCTCCCAGCACATTCCTGTCTAGCCAAGGCCCACCGTCAGGCTCAGTCCCCCTCTGCTGCCTCCTTCTACCTGTGCCTCACCACCCAGGCCTGGCAGCTCTCCCCCTGCTCCAGGGAGCATCGCTCCTATACCCAGTACCCAGAGCTGCCCGTCACCCAGCCCACGTTGCAAGCCGCCCCTCAGTTTTTTCATTTCCCATGGGATTGTTGGCATTCCATGGGACACACAGGCCTGGGGACAGAGCCCAGCAAGGCCAGTGTGGGTCCTATACATTAGCCATGACAAACCCTTTAGAAAAATACAAATAGGGGGCCAGCAGGTGGTGTGGTGGTTAAGGTGGCCGACTGTGGTTTGAGTCCTGAACCTGGTGGTTTGCTTTCTCTCTGTCTCTCTCTGGTCAAATAAAATAATAATAATAAATAAAATTAAATAATTTTAAAAAGTGATAAAAATACAATTAAAATGGGGTGTATAGGGACCAGCAGTTGGCATAATGGCTATGTTGTTGGACTCCCATGTAGTCGACTGCGGTTCGAGTCCTAGACTCAATGGCTTAAACTCATGCTGGGCGTGTGTGCGTACGTGCCCAAGATCACCGAGAGAATGGCAGAGGAGGGATTGC